CCCCCCCCCCCCCCCACCTAACCCAGCCTCCTGTCCAGCGTGTCTGAGTCGTGGCTAATGCTAAGTGTGGCTGGAAGAAATTTGGTGCAGACTTCACGAGCAAAAATTGGAGAAAACCCACAAGAGACACAGATGCTCCAGGACTGGCCACCCACAGGGACTTGCCAAGTCTAACGGTAAGAAGCAGGAAAAATAATCTAACTTTAAAAAGTCAGCTTGAAGGGAGAAAAAATCACGAGTTTATCATTATTTCCAACTTAAACTTTTTTGAAATCTCCTATATATTTTTGTAGACCTGCCTTTGAAGCACAGGTTGGAAACTTGCTGTTCTGACATTTCTTTATTGCCAAAGCCCCTTTTTCAGGCATATGTTCTTTGAATATAGGTAGACTGACCTCTTCACTTACTGAATACCAACTGTAAAGGAAATGAGAAAAGGAAAGGAAACATTTATTACCTACTTACTATCTTTTACTTAGCCTTCCTAACCATCCTGGGAGATGGGTATTATATTCCCTGTTTCACAGATGAAAAAAGTGAGGCTCAGAAAGCTCCTCTGAGCCCTCACAGCCAGCAGCAGCAGGGCAGAAATCACAGCCAGGTCTGTCTGACTGTGAAAGCCACGTGCTTTTCTTTATACTACAACAACTCTCAAGAGACTTGCGCACATACTTCCTTTGCCCTGGAATCAGTTTTACCTTCCAAATTCATTTATAAAGAAAACAAAAAATTGTTGGGCCAGATACAGTGACCTAGGTGGTAGGGGCACTGCTATGTGATGACAAAGCCATATGGAAGCCTGAGTTTGGATCCCTTGTCTACCTGAACATGCCTGCAGGTGCACCTGTGATCCTGGTAGGCTGTAGGGCTGGAAGGAGGACTGGGCATGAAGACCCAGTTAGTGTGCTTCACTTACTCTCTTTCTCTCTCATTCATATAAAGGAGATAAATAAACTTCTAAAAAATTGTTTAAAAAAATCCATTTTGAGGCCAGCAGGTGGCATGGTGAAGGTGCTGGATCCCACATGGCCAACCCTGTGGTTTGAGTCCTGGACCTGGAGGCTTGAGAACCCTGCTGGGTGCATGTGCAGGCATGCCAAACATTCCAAGGGGACAATGCAAGAGAAAGGACTGAATTATGGCCATACTCCCTTGGAGTGATTTCTCACTTTCCCTTTCTCTATCTCTTGTCTGTCTGTCTCTCGTAAGCACACATTGCCCTATGGCAAAAAAATCTTAAAAATAAAAAAATCAAAATTTTTCTTCTTCTTCTTTTTTTTAAAATTAGAAAACAAGTGGGTAAAAGTTATGGGGCAGGATGCTGGCTTGTATAGCTAGTATATATTCATGTTTTCTTCCTCCCTTCTTCCCTTTCCTTTTTCCAGCTATAGGTCTGTGAGTTTAACTGCCTGTATGAAGATCCTTTATATCCAAGGACTCTCAAGTTCCCCAAGGTCACTTAGGTTCTAAGATTCCTAAAACAAAAATAACTAAATTTGCCATTGTCTGTGTTCTCTTCCTCTTATTTTAAATTAAGGTGAAGGGTGTGATAGAAACCAATGGAAACCATGCACACCAAGTTCTATTTCAAAGAATGAAGACCCAAGAGTACTTACTTTGGTAGAGAGAACACCGGGGCCTAGATGTCTTCTCCTTGCCCCATCATTCCACCTCCAGCCCTTTCACCCTGCTTGGCCCCAGGAGACTGATCTGTGTGGAACATCATCAGACTACTCCCTTGTCCTCGATATCGGTTAGGCTCAGCCATCTGTTCCCCTAATAAAACTTATGAGACGGGGACCAGCAGTTGGCATAATGGCTATGTCGCTGGACTCCCATGTAGTTGACCGTGGTTCGAGTCCCAGACCTGGTCGCTTAAACTCACGCTGGGCATGTGTGTGTGCATGGCCAAGATCTCAAGAAGAGAATGGAGGAGAAGGGATTGTGGCATGGCCATCTCCTCAGGGGGTGATTTCTCGCTTACTGTCTCTCTGTCTCTGTCTTTTTGGTGAGCGTGTTCACCCTATAGCAAAAAACCTCTCCAAAAAAAAAAAAAAAGAACCCAAAACAAACAAAAACTTACGAAGCATGGGTATATGAGCAGAAAGATCTGTCAATATACAGCTTAGATTTATCCTGTTCTCCCTTCCTCACCAACGGGCAGAACTAGGACCAATGGTTAGAAGCTGGAGAGAGGAAAAGTTCATCCTTCAGGAAGAAGATGTGCATATGAAAGCTGTCTACACATAGACAAGACTCGAGAGAAAGGGAGTGCCCTTCCAAGTGCTATTCAAGCAGGGAGGCTGGAGAGGGACTTATATATTAAGAAAGAGATCAGACTAGATAATCCCGAAGGTTCTTTTTAACCTTGAACACTGATCTGTGTTACTATAAATATCCATTCTAGTCAGGAACTCGCCCCTTCTTTCACATTCTTTTCTATTTTATTTCATGTTTTCCCTTCTTTGAGAATTTGAGACAGCTTAAATTAAACTTCCTTATCTGGGTTGGAGGGCGTGGGATGGAGCGGAGCACAGATGAAGATGAAAAACTGGCAAAGGCTCCGTGTTTACATCTTGAAAATAATGTTTGTGCACTCACCTTTTCTATTAACATGCAAATATCAAAATATGTTTAACACGCTTTGTACTTTTTTTGACCCTTTTCATCCTGGTGCATCTAGGAGCAGATGGTTCCACAAGGGATCTTTCTAAACTCCAAGATATTTGTTTTATTCTTCCAGTTTGTACTTAAATTGGTGAGGACTTTGTTCTTTGCATAAAAGAGACCATTTTAATATAGAAACAGCATTGAAGTCTTAGAAAAACACTCTTTAAAAGCAGATCAAAACCTACCACTTTATCCTCTAAAATTGAAGTCTCCAACATCAGGACTGTCTAGTGTATATTAACTGATGCTAAGCAGTTCCAACAGAAAAACTTCCAAATGTAGGATGGGCTTTCTTTTTTCTTTTTCTTTGTTTTATTTTATAAAATGTTTTTGCCTTAAGCATGTACGCTTGCTTTCTTTTTTCTTTTTCTTTATTTTATTTTATAAGATGTTTTTGCCTTAAGCATGTACGCTTGTAGGAGAGAGATAAACACAATGAGAAATCACCCCTCCCAAGGCAGGGTGGCCATGCTGCCATGACTTCTCCATTCTCCTCTTGGGATTTTGGACACACATGTACACACACCAGGCATGAGTTTCAAACCACCGGGTACAGTACTCAAACCATGGCCTTCCATGTGGGAGTCCAGCAACATAACTGCTACACCATCTGCTGGTCCCTCTTTTTTCTTTTTTTTAATTACCAGAGGGTAAGTGTACTTTCCAGAGAGAGGGAGAAGAAGGAGGAGAAAGCACTTCCTCTTGCAGGGCATGGTCACACTCTCTTGTCTCCATTTTTCCATCATGTCAGGGTTCTGTCATGCACACACATGCACCTGGCATGCTTTCTAAGCCACTGGAGCTGGGATTTGAACCATGGTTGCCCATGTAGGATCCTGCTGTCTTAACCATTAGGCTATGAGGCTGGTATCAGGATGTACTTTCTTTTACTAATTCTCCAGGGTAAAATATGTCAACTCCAAATGCAAACTTGAGAGTTTGATATTTGGTTCTAGAAAGCAATGAAACCACCAGCTGCTTACCCCATACCCAACCATGTTGGAAGAATGAACTTCTGGTTCCCAAGGAGTGAGGATCAAGAGAGGGCTGGTTTGAGAGATCTGCTCTGCTTCACACAGCTTGGGGAAAGCCATTCTGGATAATTCTAATTCTTAAGATGCCAATTTGGTATTTTGGGGCATTAAGAACCTCAAACTTCTTTTGACTTAATCTACTTAGTCTTCTATAACATCCAATCAAGAAGATGATCTTCACAGGATCAAAGCCAACTCTCCAGGCAACTATCTCTACTTTCCCTGGACTAGAGGTGGGAAAAGGCAAGATAAGGTTCAGGAAAGATATATCTTTTCCTTTTATATTTCTCCCCATGGCTCCACTTTTATTAATAGGACCTACATAATGAGAACAGACAGGCTCATAGACTGGGGATTGAATCAACAAAGCTCACCCTGGAAGTCCTATCAACAGTGTCAGAAACTGTTAATTAAAATCACAGACCTTCTGGAGCTGGTAGTGAGCAAAGATATGTTAATTAAAACTAGACTGAACAACCAGAAAGTTGTGCAGTTCAAGCTCTCCTGGCACCAGAGTTGCTTAGCTAACCTTATGTACCTCTGCAAAACCATGTCTTGTACAGAATCAAACATGATGAGTGAGATCATTTTGATAAATGGAAACACATCAAATGTATCTTCATTTGGAGTAAAGTGAACCTTTGAAATATAGAGCATCCCCCCACAAAGCAGTGATCCTTTGAATTTTATTAAGGAGGGCTCTGGATCTAAGAGCAGGAAGCTAGTATAGGTCACCCAGGCACCAAACATGCTTGGTGTTTCATAAATGCTTGCTCAGTGACAAAACAAGTGAAAGTGACACTTGAAAAGCATACTAAATCAGGAAGTTAATGGCCTTGGGTCCTAGTTTCAGGCATGTCACCAAAGAACTGGGGCAAGGATATATTTATTTCCCTCCCTAGGCTTTTGGGTCCTTGTCAGTAAAAACAAAGAGCTTGACCTAGATGGTCTCTGGTGTCCCTCCAAACTCACAATGTTTTTAATTACCTGATGTGTTTTAAGAGTTATTTTCCCATGGCATTGTAGAATTAAAGATGACATCATTTCAACTTAATGAGAGAGACTGTTAATCTCTCTTAATTATCAAAATAATTTAACAATTCTGCAAACTATGTCTGCAGTTCACTCTGGCCCAAAGATGTGTTGAGCTGAACAGAACTATATCTGTATCTTGAGGCTAAAAGTTGCCCCAGAAGCCTCTGGCTGGCTGCCCTCTGACATGAACAGAACTCAAGCATGAACTGATGACTGGTAATACAGCAGAAAGGCAGGGAGTACTGGGAGTCAAGGAATCCTAGGGGTAATTCATTTCAGATGCTCCCAAAGCAAAAGATGATTACTGGTGTCAATGAGGTTAAGACAATTTAAAAGGAGTATTTCTTGCTTCAATAACAAATCTAGTTTTTGGAATGAAAGCGGTATTTGACTCAGGAGCTGATAGCCATGCATCTTGCTATGAGGAAAGCTACTTGCCAACACACTGGTTCCACTGGTAGTGCTGGAGATAGCCCTGGGGGCAGCTACACCTGTAGCCCCCGATGATGTTCTGGCAGCCGTGCTGGCAGCGGTGGTTGCCTTCACACTCATCCACGTCTGAAAGAGAAGCAGAGTTGCCTTTAAGCCCAATGTGCATCTCCAAGGCACTGTCTGAAGCCACTTTACCTGCATGCTAACATGAAAGGCAATTCTTTTTTTTTAAAAATAATTATTTTATTTAAATTTATTTATTTAAATTTGACCAGAGAGGGACAGAGTGATAGAGAGAGAGGAAAAGTGAGAAAGCAAGCTGCCAGGTCCAGGACTTGAACTTCAGTTGGCCATGTGGGAAACCAGCATCCTTAACCACTACGCCACCTGCCAGCCCCATGAATGGCAATTCTCATGAGAAATCTCATTCTTAAAACATTATCTTACCAGATCCAGCAGGTGGAATTCTGGTTAAGGTGCTGGACTTCCCCATTGCCTACTTGAGTCCTGGACCAAGTGGCTTGAAACTCATCCCAAGTGCATGTGCACGTGTGCCCAAAATCCCAAGAGGAAAATGGAGAAGGGATGGTGGCCTGGCCATCTCCCACGGGGTGATTTCTCACTTTCTGTCTCTCTGTGTCCCTAGTGAGTGCATGTACCCTATAGCAAAAAAAATCTCTCTTAAAAAAATTATTCTACCACCCAAACTTTAAGAATATCTACTATGGAGCTTTTGCTAAGTCCAAGGCAAAAAATATTCAGAGGTCCCGGCAAAGTCTACAAATACAAATAATAACAACATCAGTGCAAAGCACAAAAGCACTCTATGGAATGGCTCTGATAATTATTTGTGTATGCTTATCTATACTAAAATTATTGTCTAGTCCTCATTGGGGAAATCATTTTATCGATCTGGATCCAGTGACCAGGAATCCTGCTATTTTTCTTGACGGAGTTACTCTCTACTCGATTAAATAAATAACTGAGCAGAAAAAGTCTTGATATACCTAGCAGAGACATGTGTTAGACACAATCAAGCATGAGACAGAAGATGAACCTCTAAGGTATGGAACCTATTCAAGCCAGGTCAAGTATTTCCATCTTCACTTAGGTGTTAGCTCTGGGCTCAGAACCGATACCGCAAGACGATGATGTGGAAGGTACTAATGACCACACAGGCCACCTCCATCAGCTCCACAGCTGGGTCACCTACCTTCACAGCTGGCACCGCTCTGATCAAGTGAGAATCCCCGCTGGCATTCACAGGTGAAGCTTCCAGGAGTATTCTGGCAAATGCCCTTAGACCCGCACAGGTTGATGTCAGAGGTGCATTCATTGTTATCTGTGAGAAGCAGGGGAAGGAGAGATGAGCTAAAATTCTCCAAAGCTCGGGACCAGCAGTTAGCATAATAGTTATGTCACTGGACTCCCACGTAGTTGAATGCGGTTCGAGTCCCGGACCCGGTGGTTTAAACTCCCGCCGGGTACGTGTGCATGCGTGCCCAAGATCCTGAGAGGAGAATGGAGGAGAAGGGATTGTGGCGTGGCCATCCCCCCTGGGGGGTGATTTCCTGCTTTCTGTCTCTATGTCTCTTTCTGTCTGTCTGGTGAGCGCACGCACCCTATAGCAAAAAAAAAGAAAAAAAAATTCTCCAAAGCTCTCTTTGTGTTCTTTCAAAGAAAGTGAGCAAAAAGGCCAAACTGGACTAATAACTTTTCACATGTATGTACGTGCACCCAAGGGCATGCATGAGTGTATGCACGCCCACACATGCACACAGTTAAAAAAAATTGTTTGGGACCAGCAGTTAGTTGCTGGACTTCCATGTAGTCAACTGCAGTTCAAGTCCTGGACCTGGCTGCTTAAACTCACACTAGGCACATGTGCATGCGTGCCTAAGATCCCAAGAGGAGAATGGAGAAGGAACTGCGGCGTGGCTATCCCCCCAGGGGGTGATTTCTCGCTTTCTGTCTCTCTCTCTCTCTCTTTCTGGCGAGCGCATGCTCCCTATAGCAAAAACCTTTCAAAAAAAAAAAGAAAATCAAGGCTTGACCTACAATTT